ATAGGGTTTAGGGTCCAGAGTATAAAGTTTAGGCTTCAGGGAACAGGAAGTCTCCAAGACTTCAGTGTATCCCTGTTTGTTTCGTGAAGCATGTGAAGCGAATGTTTGAGTTTTTCTGAGCTGCTGGAAAAAGAGGCGTGCTGCAGATGTGGTCCGGCAGTGAACGACTGGACTCTGGGAACGTGGCGCAAATTCAAGCGGTTTTCAAAAGCCACTTGGATAGGCATTTGAGAGTCTCAGTTGAGGAGGCGTTTACACACAGCGGTATGCTGATGCGTCAGTTGATTTCAGCCGCTGCAATCGGCGCCTTCCCCTTCTTTCTTGACTTCATTGCTTACGAGGCAGTCAAGTTGGTGCACCATTTTTGGCTAAGCACATACACTAACTTGGGTTTGGGATTGTACTTCCTTTTCTGGATGCCGCTTTTCATACGTGGTCTTCTGGTACTTGGCAAAGTGGGCAGCCGCTGGTGGAATGGGTCATGCGGTAAGCGTGTAGTGGTTGCTTGTCAAGCGCTTGCTATGTTCTTGATCAGTGTGGTGATCGTCGTGGGCTATTCGGTCTCCAACTCGATCGCTCCCAGGTTGATGGCAGTGTGCAGCGTGATTTTTGGGCTTCGCCATCTATGTCCTTGCCGAAAATCCGCCACGAGGTTGTTTGGTAAGTTTTGCCTGGCTGCCTCTGATCTTGGTTGCCGAGTATTGCAGGTTTTAGTGTTAACAAGAATAAGACATGGTGCGCATGCAGTCGCTGGATTGCTTAGGTCATGATTGGCGGCTTACCCAGGGAGCCCTGCAACAGGTGGGCAGAACCGAGAAATCACATTTTTTTTGAAAAGTAGCAAAAGAAGTCCAGTCGTCATGGCTGGTCCCACATTTTTTGGTAATTCCCAAGTAGAAATCATGGCTGCTCGAAAATGGTCACGTTTTGGTTTCAGAGAAAGGGATCACTGAAACGATTGTGGTGGTGATCCCTAAGCCCGAAAACTTAATCTCTAGTTCCGAAACCCCAAACCCTAAACACACGACAGCAAGCCCTGAACTTTCAGCCCAAAGAGCAGGTCGGCCGACCCGCCGGCCAGAGCTGAAGGATCTGAACCCGATGAAGCGCTCGAGGCGCGCCTACCCTCAGATATCGTCTTTGGGGAGAGGAGTTTTTCCGGATTTGACCTTGCTGAATTGGCGGTTTCTCCACTGTTGGGGGGCCCAGGGTTGCCCAGAAGCCTTTCACCATGATAAGGCGCTGAAAAAGAGAGGTCTCTGTCAGAAACTGTCGGATCGCGTCAAAGGTTTGAAGTTGCGGGAATAAATTCCGATAAGTTCACTGGGAAACTCCGATCAGGGGGCGAACCAAAGCAGAAGTCTGTTTTTTCGAGCTTGGGTGAAACTTGAAGCGAAAAGACTGCTGTAACTGTGACGCAAGTGGTTGTGTCCACAGTTTTTCCCGGTCGCAGTTTGGTGGCCTTAGGACTCCAAGGGTCTGCATGTTTCGAGTACGCATCCATCCCGCTTTTCATTGAATGCGCCTAAGTCCAAGACTGTTGGCACTTCGAAGAATGGCTTAGCCATTGAATGGTTTGAGTCTTCCAAAGCTCCGGAAATTTACCAGATTGAGAAAGCTTCGGGCAGCTGTGGGTTCGGAAGAGCTCAGGCAACTTGCTGTACAGCCATATATGGACTGTGATTGTGATTTAGGTCAATCCCCCTAGAGTAATAGCTCCTTGATAGGGGGTTAATAGGGTCTTAATATAGCTACAATAGTCCCCCCCAAAACCCAAGACCCTAAACCCTAAACCCTACCCATTACTGGGTGGGGGATTGACCCAAACTGTGATGCTATCAAATACAAGACTACCCGCCAGTCAACAAATGCGAGCGGCAGATAGCCAGGAGCTAGCTTGACTTTCAAAGGGGCAGTCTCTCCAAGGAACCTTCATAGGGTTTTGGGTTTAGGGTTATACCTTATAAGAACCCCCCGTTATAGTGGTATAGAGGCTTATAAGAGACCTAAATATGATTACCATTATCCCTTATAGTCAGTATTACTGTTCTTGGGTCAACCTAGTCTGTACCATCATGCATCAGTCATCCCCCCGAAGTACAGAAGCCATAAATTCTCAGTTGAAAAAACACACTTGAAGTTTGCTATGGAAGTTTAAAAGGACCTGCGCTCCATCTTCAGCAGGGACCTGTATAGTGCCGAGCATCATCCCCGTAGAGGCATGGGTCTCTGGGGCACCCCAATCCTGTCACATTCGCAACAGCATACCTGTACATGCTACTTTGCCGATGTGCAAACACCCTAAACCCTTGACCCTAAACCCCATGCGAAGGTCATGTCTTGGCCAATACTTCGGGGCCCATGAGTCACTAGATTGTGTGTAAAGACGCGCGCCATCACGTGGTCATGAAAGTGCGGAAAACAAGCTGTTAACCTAGCTAGTACGTATTCATTATTTTCCCTAGCCGTTATGTAGCAAACATGCAGAATGTGCACGATCCCAACGACCATCCAGGAAATGCGGTGCTCTCTTGGATTCTGATGATTGTTGCCATTTGAATTTGTGTGCTATTTTCAATATTGTGACGAAGGTTGTTCCTATTCACTGCTGTCATTTGTTCCAAAGCTTTTTCGGAGTTTTTCAAGACATGCTAGCTGGTGCTACAAAGGAAGAGTGCCTGCTATCCTGATCACGATAACCAGGCCCTAAACCAACTTCCCTGCAGAGCCCTGACCGCAGATTAAGGTTTCCGAGATTGACAGGTGCATTTCTTTAGTGGTCCTTGAAACTGAATAATTTGTTTTGTGAGTCCCATTCTTGTTGGACATTTCCTACATGTGGGATCTCCGACGGCCATCAGCGGCTATCATGGGAGGCTCTTTTTGACCTGCTTAGCGAAACGAAAACTACCCCTACAACTCTAGAATAGATTTTGATTTTCTAGCGGGCTTTCCGCTTACTACGATCTGAAAAGTGGACACCTCTAGTCAAGCATGTACAGGCATATGCTCTCGCGGCCATCTTTCCTCAAGTTGCTTAGGCAGCTGTGTTTGGGGGCTCATTCCCCCCAGTGCATGGTTTGGTAGTTACGGTGTAGAATGACAATATTGTAGTCCAGAGAGAATGCAAAACTCTTTGAGCATAAATGTATTCTCTACACCAATCTGTTCTGTCCTGAAGCAGAGTAGATATCTCAAGCAGCAAAGAATCCGAAAGTAACCAGTAAACAACAAGGTTTCGGGTACGCGATATCACAACCAGAAAAAAGGTCATGAGGTTGTAATACTCCGAATTATTCGGCTGCTACATTAGGTCACCAGGTCCGGAAGCCCAAATCTTTGACAGTAGACCCTCAACCCTGAACCCGAAACCCTTTGGTGTGGCATGTGCTGATGGTGCCAAAAGGCCGAGTGATGAATGATGGAGTTCGTACACGAAACGGGGATAAGAACCCCTTGATAGCCATATGATAGTTACAGGGCCCTTATCTTTGGGATTCGAGTGACCAAAATGCTTGCCATGCTTAAGAGCCTCTGGCTCAGGCCGCCGACCAAGCAGGAGGTGAGGGTGTTGGACGTGGGGGTTGGCCCTGGAAGAAGTCGTCGCGGCGTTCACACACAGACCGTGCGAGCCCGCACCATTCGACTGTTTTTGGCCCCTCATGTGGGTGGCCGCGCAAATCAATCCAGAGGGGTGGAGATGGGGTGCGGTGGAGGATGATCCGGGGATACGGGAGGGGGGAGGGGGGGGAAGAGGGGCTTGTGTTTTTGCCTGCGTTTGTCGCACTTTCCCGCCCTCCCGCCCCCCGCCTCCCCACGTCAAAGGCGGGGTTCTAAGCCCTAAAACCCTGAATTTTCCCACAGTTGGATTTAAGTAGCACAATTCAACGAAAATAATGGGCAGGGGGGTAGGTAGGGAACCGATGAATGTATGATCCACCGGCGAAATGACATCCCCAAATCCTGATTTAGGGTTTAGGGTTTACTAGGGGTGGAGTAGTTCTTATCCCAACGATGGAGAATCAAAGGAAAAGAACATGCAAATGAAATGGAAGCTAGGGCTTATACAGGGGTGTATGGGCTACTGTTGAGCATGACCTTAGTACACTATAATACCATAATTCCCAAGGTATAAGGTACCTTGGGTCATGGAGGAGTTTTAGTATCCACCGTAAGTATGCTCAGATTCCTTAGCCTTGTGATATGCTCCCTCAAGAAGGCATGTCTGGTATGCCTTTCTGCAGAGCAGCGACTTGTCTGGGCTTTTCTTGCAGCCGAATAAGGGATGACGTTGGCTTCGATGAGTACCCAACTAAATCCATGGGGAACTTCAGACCGCACCAGGAAGATGACCTTCGCATGTAAACACGCGGAGGGCGAAGCTATCAAAGAACAGTATGTTGGGGCCGCGTCGGGCCTATTGAATTGGAAGTCGGTTTTGGGATACACTGTGCCCATGAGGATTGAAAGGAAACAGTATTGGTATTCATTCAGGCTTCTACAAATTTGGAGTTTGGGGTTCTGAATTTATTGCAGGTTGCAGGATTGCAGCTCAAAGTTCAGCCCAGGGCGAATGCCTTTCTCGCTTGAAGAGATGCGACAAAGCCTAAGTGATGTGTGCGTAAACTTAGAGCATAAATTGTTGTGCCCGGCACCCGAATCTAGACACTTGGTGTTGAAACGTACATGACGGCATCATGTTCTCATACGTGAAGATACAGTCATATAAGTGCAGTGGGATCTGGCCTTAGAAAGCCTACACACTTAGCCCCGAACCTCACACCTCGAAATGCAATACTCCAAACCCAGCAGCATTATGGAGGCAGATAACAGTATTCATAATGTCTAATATTTAAGGATCTTCAATCCCTGAGCCCTGAGCCAAAGAACCCTGAACCCCGAACCCCAAACCCTCAACCCTGAACCCTAAACTCTAAGAGTTATTATACAACAATTGTTTACATCGATGTAAAAACATATTGTATAATAACTGTGGACAGGCTTGGCTACCGGCGTTTTATTGAGCTGGACCTCCCCATCCTGGGCCTTGCGCGATGTGAGTTCTGAGTGCGGCCCTTAGTGAGCGGTTTAGGGTTTGGGGTTTAGGGATTAGGATTAGGGTTCAGGATTTAGGGTTTTAGTGTGTTAGGGTTTGGGGTTTAGGGATTAGGTTTTAGGTTTAGGGTTTGGGGTTTAGGGTTTGAGGGTTTGGGGTTTAGGGTTTGAGGGTTTGGGGTTCAGGGTTTAGGATTTGGGGCGTAGGGTGCAGGGTGTAGGGTTTAGGGAGTCCCTGCTCCTATAACAGGGGGATACAGGGTTTTATAGGGGTATGCAGGGGAATGGAAAAGTAAATGGAAACGGATATCTTAAAAAGGGTTGTATAGGGGTATAGAGGGGTTTATTACCCCAATGATGGAGAATGAAATGGAAGCTCGGGTTATATAGGGGTCATATACGTAGGAACTCTCCACATAATATGAAAACGACCACCCCTCTAATGCCAGCTATTCCATATGTATTGTAGATCTCACAACAGGAATGTTTAGTAGTAGGGGTGGGGGTTTGAGGGTTCTGAGCGACAGGAAGGTTCGGATGTGTTTCTTTCCTTCAGGGATTTCAGTGGGTGTGCTGCGTATTCCGGGGAATGATTCTGAATCACTGCGGAAACCCAGTAGAACCATAAGGCACGAAGTCTCCATGGAGCCACTAAGTCGATCCTAGTGTGAAGTCTGAGGCTTACAGTTCAAGCTTCAGAGGTTTTGAGTGTGAAAGCGGGTGCAACATCCAAACAAGCTGTTCCTACCATTGTGGTGTCCTAACAATAAGAACTATGACTGGAGCAGTGTGGGGTGTATATCGGGACTCCAATGGTGCAAGTCAGGGTTGAGTGCACCACCAGGCAAGATGTGTTGAATGGTGGCCTTGATTTGTGTAGTTTTGCTGTCTTTCCTGTTTAGAGCCTGAGGTTAGGGGATCTTTGGGTTCTTGGGCCCCCTGCTTAGGCTTCAAGATTCAGGATTTCAGGCGCGTTTCCGTGGACAGGGGCAAATGCCTCAAGCCCCTCAACCCAAATCCTGAACCCCTAAACCCTGAACCCTGAAACACCTAACCTTAAATCCCCAACCCTAAACGCTAAATCCTAAACCCTAAACCCCTTCACCCTACTTCCCTTGTGGTAGTTGGGGGTCCAGGCTCGAGCAGGATGTGCTCGAATTGTACAAGATGGCGGGGAACGGCGGCCACCGGCCTGAGCATCACTCCAGGAGATTCTCCAGGCTTGGTTATTCGGGTACTATTGGGGTAATATTGAGGTAGTATTGGGACAATGGAAAAGAAATTGGAAACTGCTCTTTGGGGTAGAGGGATGGTTTGGGATCCAGGGTTTAGGGCTTAGGATTTAGGGTTTAGGTTCAAGGGTTTGGGGTTTAGGATTTGGGGTTTAGGATTTTGGGTTTTGGATTTAGTGTACCATAGTTTTATTTCTCTTCTTGTAGTAGCAGAAAAAAATGGTGAATACTAGCAAACAAGAAGAATGACAGGTTTGATTCTATCCTTGCCACCAGTGTTCAAAAACACCTTGGTGCACCTAATATTAAATACTCCCGTTGAGGTGCACCATAACTTCCTGCGACTATTTAATCTCAGGGGGTGAGGGGTTTGATATGAGGGGGAGGGGGTGATAAAAGCCTGAGTCATATACAGGCGCATCTAGAAGTTTCCTTGAAGGTTTACATGGAGCTATAGTGGGGAACTTGAACAGGGGTATGTATAAGGATTATGTAGGGATAGCTTTTGGGAATCTATTCCGCCACCCCCCAATTCAGTACGAATAAGTGGGTAGAGTAAGCTGGACCGCCTTGGGAAACGTGGTAGTTGTATTCGCAGTTTGGGGTACATACAATTGTATCATTGATTGAGTTCCCTGAACTTTAGGTAGGAGCTGGCTTGAGAGGCCCAGGTTTCAGTTGGCAAAGTGATGATATAACGAGAAAGTCAGTTCGTGCCTGCCAAGCTAGCACCAAGGCACATAAACACATGATCTTTGAGCCATTCGAAAGTCTCAAGTCTAACGTCTGCGAACCTTTTCTAACATGTATAAGATGGTAGCGCGTCGTCATCCCCTTTGTCGTAACCTCGAAACTGTTGCGTACTAGGTGTATATATATGTATAGCAATAGCTTAAGTTCCTTAACAGCAACCAAGGAAATGTCTGATCAGCGTACATCGCACGTTTAAGCAGTGCATCACTCTCTGCCCTTGACTGTCGCGCCAGTGTTGCGCCTTGCAGCACTCTTGGAATCTTGGGCTGGATGGTAGACTGGCCTACTGAATCAAGTCAGTATACTGGGGAAGCCACATGAATTACTTTGTATACTCATTATGGTAACTTAATCTAAGCTTCATAACAGGAACCCAGTGTACCATCCAGCCCCAAACACTGAGCCCCACAGCATCTTCACGCAGCAGCAACAGTGCCCCTAGTGCCAACCTGCTTCATAATCAGTCTTCCCTGACCTGTATGGATGCTGCACACCAGACTGAAACCCTTCACCTTACTGGGGGTTTTGCAGGGATGGGAGTACGGGAGTAGATATAGGATTTAGAGTTTAGGGTTTAGGGCTAGTACGGAGTAGGGGATATGTTATACAGGGATCAAATAGGGATTGTATTCCCTCATTCCCTAAGTAACCACTCGGTAAGCCACTGTGGTGGAGGCAGCCTGCGAGCCCCGAAGCTGTGGCCACTTCCCCTGTCGGCCACTTGCTTGCACAGCCTTATCGACCTTCGAAAAGGCCTCCCACGTGTACATAGGTTACTTTTGTATTTAGGGTATTTGGAAGGTCCAATTCTGTACCATATACATATGTATAATATGAAGTTCAAGGACTTGTGCTTGCGTGTGGATATCCCGAGGATTCAGAATGTGCTGCCAGGCCCTTTTCTGTCGAGATAACGCCTAGATGACGATGACATTTTTCACATTGTGTGTAGCTGGTTGGAGATAAGATTTGTGGAGTTTTTATTCGACGTGGCCAGAGAGCCCATGGTCCAGATCCTCAACACAATCTTCCAGTTCCTTTCAAACTTGTACTTCACACAGAGATAATTGTGCGGGAAGGGGTGGTCGCTAAGAAAACTTCGAACGCTTGTTGGATATCGACCTTTAGCTTTGAAAGGCCAATGGAATGCTGGAAGCCCAGGATGCGCTCCAAAGATAAGCCTTTGCAAGGAAAGGCCTAGGGTTTTATTGCCTAGACTGATTCCTGTGGCTTCAAGGTGGGTGTCCTGTAGGATGCAGCTGCCCCCTCCTCTCCGATCGCTCCCCTATACCCTAAACCCTACAGAACTTATTCCTCATAAGCAGGGAAGGAGGGAATGGAAAAGAAACTGGAAGTTATCCTTTTTTTGGGCATTCTATAGGGGCTACTATAAGGATCTGTTCCTTCGTCCCTTGCTAGCCAGAGGTAAGATAAACCGTAGACCCTGACTTTTTCTTAATTGTGCGGCCCGTCCTTGCGCAGTGTAGGATGCCCTGAACTCAAAACTCCCTAAACCCTAAACCCTCATCCAGCCCCAAGAAGCAAAGGAAGTCGTCCAGCAGCGGAGACAGCCAGGCTCCGATTATTTGGGGTTGCCCCTTTATTCGTTGACATGGGGGGTTTTCCTGGTAGTATGGGTTACAATATCTTGGGATCTACATTAGGGCATGGGGTTTTTGAAGCTACAATGTGAACCCCAAACCGAACCCTAAACCCTGAAACCTAGACCCTAGACCCTACACCCTGAACCCTAAACTCTGGACCCTAAACCCTAAACCGGGTTTCTCCAAGGCCAAGGGCTGCCGGGTTTCACACAGTTCCTGTCCTGCAGAGGCTAGGTTGGAGACATCCCCATGTTATGACTGGTTCTAGTAGGGAAAAAGGGAAAATAATCCCCATATAATCCCTGTATAGCAAAACTATGAACCAGGAAGTTAGAGAGTATCTACGAGTACCGCGAAAAGAAGGCCAGACAAATGACAAAGGAAGCGCCTCAGGTACGGCCTGGCAAGTTGGGTTTAGGGTAGGGTTTAGGGTTTAGGGTTCAGGGTGTAGGGTTTATGGTATAGGGTTCAGGTTGAACGGCTTAGGGTCTAGGGGGGTATTCCAGGATATTATAAGCCCCAAAATGGCCCAAAATAGAGGAGAGCCATATCCTTTAGGAGGAACCCCCACCCTGTGATAGTGGTATGAGGGGAATATAAGAAGATCCTAATATCGTTGTTATCCATTATAGTCACTATTATTGGGTGGGGGGTCCACCTAACATATCCTCGTTTTAGGGTATTGTATCTTGTAACAGGGAAAGTAATCTTTCTGGGTTCAACCACCAGAAAATGCAGCTCAGTAAACATGTTGCCTGGTTGGGACGGGAGATGGCGGTGCGAGATAGGGTAGTTTCCCAAAATGATGGGACCCCAATATAGAGCCCAATTTGCTATAATCCTTATAATAGGGACCCCCAATATGGTACCCCTTTTTTTAGGAAACCCCTATAGAGGAAGTACCGGTGAAGAACCAAACTGCAAGCTCGCCAAGTGTTAAAAAGCCTTGGCTAGGTGGCACTTAAAAAATAATCAATAATGTCCCCTATCTTGGTAATAGGGAATCTACTTATCAAACAAAAATGGGGCCCTTTATAGTACCTACCACCCAAAGTCTCAAACCCTAAGCCCCAAACCCTAGCCTCAAGCCTCGAGACTCAATCTGAAACCGAAAGTCCAAAACGAAGTCGCCTCCTGGCTGGAGGGCAGAGTCCGCAGAACCTGTTGCTGTCGGTAAGGCCCAGGGCTGGGACTTTTTGGTGTTTAGGGTTTAGAGTTTAGTTTAGAGTTCGGGTTTTGGAGTCTAGAGTTTAGGGTTAAGCGCTCACAATTTTTTAGCCTAGGGTTTAAAGTTGGAAGTTTAGGTTTCAGGTGTTGGGTATCAGTGTTCAGGTGTCAGGGTGTGTGGGGTATAGATAGCAGGGAAAAAAAAAGCTGTGTGTTTAGGACGTATGGTGTAAGTAGTTTTTTGGATTCAGGGTATAAGCTTGAGGGTGGGGTTTGGGCTTCAGGTTTTGCTTTGTAGGCTACGGCGCGGCGTTCCAGCTATAACATACATCATAGGTTCCCCTGCCCCTCTTATGTGGAACTGTAGAAGGGGCCTACGTAGAGTGCTGTCACTTTGGAAGGGGGCTATATGGGATTCCATGTTTGTTTGGGCGATGGGTTTAGGGTTTAGGGTACGGGTTTCGGCTTGCGACTTCTTATCTTCACCTGGTTGAATTGAGCAGGCTTGCAACTTATGCGCTAGACTCTTGAGTGCGGTCCTGAGTGCTACACACCCTTGGCCCAGGACCCTAATCCTCAAGGCATTGTGTACTGAAGAAAATTTCATGGGAACAAGGTGGCCCGGTGATTCACAGTTCAGCTGCTAAAGCCTTGTAGCTTCTGGATGGAAGGATGAAGCCGCAAGGTTGCTTTCAACGTACGAGAACCTTTTCGTAGTGATCTCCGCAGAAGAACTGCAATCTTCAGACGTCAGTCTGGACAGTTAAGAGTGCACGGTCTCAGCATCCATGTAGAAAGTTAGCGTGGCTCACAAACGGCCCGAATGCGGTCCTACCTAGTACTAAAACCAAAGTTGTATCAGGGCCGCGGAGGGTTGTAAGGGGGCCGTTGAGCCTTTTTGGTCTGTTCGTTCACAGGCGGCCATCACCACTACCACCACCATCATCATCGTCAACTGGAGGTTTACGGCACGTGGAGCCCCGTGATCTACTAGAAGCCAGTTCTTGAAATTTGCGTTGCGGGGATGATGCCTTGTAAGCAGCTCTTGCAACAGCGGCGTCAGTAGCAGGTGCCTGCAGATGATTCCACGTGCTTCGTAGACAACTCCGGATACAGTGCCGGCCCCGATATTTGCTGTACTCTAAACCCTGACCCCTAAATCCCTAAACCCCTAAGCCTTAGACCTCAAAGCCCCTAAGCCCTAAACCTCTAAACCCCTAAGCCCTAAATCCCTAAAGCCCTAAACCCCTAAACCCGTAAGCCCTTAAGAGTGTATGAGTCAGCTTGTCAGCTTTGCTCTGAGGGCAGCCTTCCGCTGGTGCTTGACGGTTTTCTATGGTGAAGGCTTTAGCTTGGCCGGATGGGAGCTGACATGAACTATAGTCTAAACTCCTTCAAGGGGGTTATATAGGGGATTATATAGGGGAGTACTATAGGGGTTATTAAGGGGGATACTAGGAGTTTAGACAATGGCTCACATAGTTTGGAGACATAAAAGCTCCACACTGCTTGAGAGGCACTCTCAATCGGGACAAGAAAGGTCCGCAACAAGGAAGGAATGGCTCTTTTGCTTCAGTGGTTTATAGGCGTCATAGACCCAATGTCGTGCAGCAGGGATCAGACGCTATGCAGGTGCTAGAACCTGCTTTGAGTGTCCTCTGCAGTTCAGACATCCTAAGAGCAAGTCCGGGGGTTTGATTGGGGCTGTCGCTTCATTCTGTGTTACCGTTTGTAGCAGATCGCTCTTGTTGCACAACTCTTCCTCTTCATTCCCTAACAGTTAACACGTACATGAGAGCTGCCTGCACACCCTACAGCCAGATAAGTTCAAGCCCACAAAATCTTTTCCCCTTTACCCTCAAAACTTCCTTGTTCCTGATCCCAAGCCCTGACCCATGGCATCCCCTTTATTAACCCCCAGCTTTGCATCATTCCCACAACGTATCTCGGACAGGTGCAGTTTTCCGGAATTCCTCAATGCTTTGCTATCAAGAGAATACGTGAGTGGCCAATGCTTACAAGGACTCGTTGTCATTCCCTATCATTCATGGTCGAATGTCAAAATCATGGTCGTCTTTCTGGGTCCCAATGATTATGCACGCCCGATTGTTCAGGGTACCCTAAATGAAACCGTGATTTGTCCACCCGTTAAATATTGGTTAATCCCATGACTCAGCCAAGGTGGCGGTTGCAAGATGGATGGGTGCTCCTGCCCCGCGCTGCAGTTCGCCTCTCAGGGGGGCTTGGCACCAATCTGCTCTGTCAAAAGGGGCAATGGTGGGGGTCAAGATTTTAAGGCTTGAGTTTTAGGATTGAACAATTAGGAGGAGGCTTCCATGACGCTAGAAACACATAAGTAAATAGATATCACCCTTCATAAAGCCATGTGAATGATACAAAGCGAGAGCATCCTCCAGGAGAAGGCGTGCAAAGAAGCCACATTATCCTCTTGACCTCAAGCTCAGAACGTCAGACCTTAGGAGGACACCCCCACCCTGTAATAGTGGTATAATAGGAATATAGGAGGACCCTAATAGAATCCTTGCTGGTCCTTATAGTCACTATTACTGGGTGGGGGGTCCACCTAAGTCAGACCGCAGACCCATCATCAACCGCCGCCCATGAAAAATGGAATGCTTGTGTGAATGGCATAGCTCATGGGTGCTTGCCCGGATGTAATGTACCTGGAAAGATTAGTTACGTTGCATGTTTGTTTTTTGGTCATGCATGTTTTAGTTGTGCTTTCCTACTTGGCAAACATGCTTACTTCCGTAGCTTGGCTCTAGCCGCACATGATTTCGAGCAACTCGTGACAAAACAGTCTGTCCGTCGCTTCTGTTGTTTAGGCCAAGCGTAGGAAGTACCACACTTGAACCCATAGGGTATACATTGGGTTTTATATACATATATATTAGGGTTATATTGGGGTTATATAGGATATTGGAAGAGAAAATGGAAACTACTGTTTAGTGATTGCCTCAAGATGACTGCTCTGCTATGAGGCTTCATACAATTCCCGTCGTCCAGCTTACAGTCGAGTGATTTGAGCTCATACTACATACAACACAAGAAATTGTGTTGCCAATCCTATAGCCACACTACAGTAACTTAGTTCAAGTTTCTCCACGGCAATCCAGGATTTGAACATTTCGGATGCGGATAGTATGGAGCTCGCTGGGCTGTTATTTCTGAATGAACCTTCCGCATTTTGATTGGGAGTGCCAAAGCATCTGTTAGTCTCAACCCGGCACAAAAGTAGCAAGCAGAACAGCTGAAGCTCGGCACGACAGCCGATGCCTTATACATGTGGCACCTGGGGCAATTATGAATGTCCCTAAGCGTTTTAGACGGGGGCCTATACATAAATAGTTTTGCAGGCCTTGAGACTAACACCCAGTGATCTTTTGCCTCCCTGGCATTTCTGGACTTGGGCCTAGGCACTGCTACCCGAAGTTTTCCAAGGAGTCGCTGGGAAACTGCTGGCCAACTAGCAGGGGTCTGAATGCATCATGTAAGGTCTCGCCAAAGAGGCAGTAGGCAAGACCCTTAAGCCCCAAACAGGAAGCTAGGTTTCAGGTCGGGGCTGTACGGAGGCTGGGGAGCACTAGTACTGCTGGTTCTGAGGTTACTAACCCTCCTTGGACTAACCCCGCCTTAAGGACTTGCTGCTAACATGAAGAGATTGTATGGCGCGGTCGCAGGGTGTGCCTGTCGTCTTGTATGCAAGCAGCACAGCTGAGAGTGGGGGTTGTCAAAGGTGTGGTCCTATGTGACCAAGCCTATGGAGGTCATAGACCCAGCCTGTTAAGGTCGTGATAGTAGCCGTATTTGTTTTCCGTTGTTATCTTACTGGTGCTCAGTAGGGATTAAGGGAATGTAATCGCAATATAGTCCCCATAGAATACATTCCCTCATTTCCTACTCACCCCAAGTAAGGCTATTATGGTTTTGGCGAGTGTACAGCTGGTTCTTCAGTTGCGGCCGTTATTGTGCAGATGGAGTTTCTGTCCTCTAGGTTTGCGAGCAATACACGTCCTACCTGGAACCGCAAGCTTAGCCAAAGTGTTTCCTCTAGTTGCCCTAACCCTTGATCCACAACCCTGAATCCATCCAGACCTTAAAGGGAACCCTGCACCCTGAACCCATTCTGACATTAAGGTTGGGTTAGGCTCCCACCCACTGGTAGTGGTGTAACTAGGGAGTTGCAGAGAGAGAGCTGGACCCTTGCCAGGATGATGGGGATCAAGACGTGGGCGTCTGCGGTCTGGCTGCCTTGTGCCCAGCCATCCGCTCCTCCACCTGCATACTGCTAGTACTGCTCCTATTCCTAGTATAATTGCTACCGCTGCTATTACTACTTACTGCTGCTACTTTCTAGGGGTGTGGTTGCGGCTACGGCGAGTGCTATTGCTACTAGTTCCGCTACTCCGACTAATTGTACCAGCAAGGGTGCTAGTGCTAGTCATCACAGGCCACTGTTGGTACAAGTCTGGCTCCGATTGGTGTTTGTGCTGTAGCTACCAGTACCGGCATCGCTACTCTTGATGAAGCCAGTTTTGCTTTAATTCAGGGAGGCTTACAGGGATATACTATATAGGGATTATATAAAGGAATACACTATATAGGGATTATATAAGGGAATATACTATATAGGGATTATAAGGGAATATACTAGATAGGGATTATAGAGGGACTGTAGTACCTTATTCCATACTAGCCAACGGTAAGGGGGTGAAAGCTATTGTGATTCCGAGCGTCCAGGGTTGGAAGCAAATTGTGCGTGCAGGTTCTCAGTTCTTTGGGCTCCAGACTTGAAAGCCTTTTGGGTTTAGGGTTTAGGGTTTTAGGGGTTCAGGGTTCAGGGGTTTACCGTTTGGGGGTTCAGGGTTTAGAGGTTTAGGGTTTACAAAAAGCTAAAATAATCGTACAATTTTTTTGTCACCTAATTCGGTGGTCGGTGTGCTTGCAGATCTACTTCTACCGAACTCTAAGTAAACTTTCCGCGCTAACCATGGATTTGAAGACTCCACACCCTGGGTTTGCGACTGGACATGTGGCTTTCTTTCATGTAGCTGGGAACCTAACCCGGTGTTCTAGTTGAGTTTTTCTTTCATGCTACTTCAAATTGTGATGAGCAAGCTTGGATTTTTTGTGCCGAGGTCAGAATGTATGGTTTCAGGGCAGGTTTAGGCTTCTGGAAGCCCTAAACCCTAAGCCCCAAGCCCTAAACTCTAAACCTTAACCCTCAACCCGAAACCCTAAACCCAACGCCCTAAACACCAAATCGCCAGGCAGGCAACATGCACATCTCTAGGCTTGCCATTGGAAGGTCACATAACTCCTGCACATTCCCACCTTGAGGAGTCTAAATGTCGAGTCAACACTCTTCCTGGCTCCGAGTCCTAACGCCTCAGCCTCTAAACCCTTATGTTGGAAGGCCATGCTTCCTAAACCCGAAACCCTATGCCTTGCAGATGTGGTTCATGTCCCTCATTTCCGCGGTCCTCTTTGGCACTTTCGTGTGGGTCTCAGGGTGCAGGGCTTCTAGGTTCCAGAGTTGAGGATCAGTCGCTTTTTAGCAATATCATCATGTTCCATTGTTACGATTCCTATTGATCACTATCATTCCTCTTTTGTTATCTAGTTGCTTGTCTTTTCATTTATGCATATTCATTGTCGTTTCCATTTCTATTTCTCTTTCTATTTGTATTTCTCTTTCTATTCCTGTTGTTAGTATCATCATCATCGTCATCATCATCATCATCATCATCACGTTTTCTGTGTTTTCGGGAAGGACTCAGGGTACTAAGCTAAGCGCGGACTTCTGGGATTATGAGGATGGCCAGTCTGAGGGTTTAGATTGGGGGTCTTGGGGTGATGTTCAGGGCTTAGGATGAACAAGTTTCACTGATCTACTGTATTTGAGAGATTCCACTCGGGGATTCTTCTTCAGGGTTGAGGATCAACAACCTATGGGTCTGAAATGCTGGATTCTGTTTTCCATTGTCGGGTTGAGGATTGTAGGGTTTAGGGTTTTACGACGCGCCATCATTTTGGTCCCCGCCTTGAGGTGTGCTTCAGTGGGCAACAGAAAATTGAGTAGAGTTTCTGCTTTTCTCCTTTTTGTGGGCGGATGGCATTGGGCATGCTATTCTATTCAATGGAGCAGACTCTTCTTGAAACCTCAGCCAGCCAAAGAGAGCTCGCAGTGTGAAGCCTACTTTAGGGGCTTTAGGGTTAACGGTTCAGGGCCTGAACAAGTAGCAATTCTATGAACCTTAATTCCGTGCTCAATTGTAGTATCGCCTACCGTAAATAGACTTGAACATGATACTGGTAGTCACTTAGCCTTCTCCGTTACGTATTCCTAGGAGGCTGAAGCCTGAGGTTTTGATCCCTATGCTGTTCTCACATCATGAGCTTTGGCGTGTAATCTGGGGCCATTGTAGTGATGGCACTTTCGAAATTAGATGTCTAGAATCCCGGCATACCTTTACGACCCAGGCCCCCACTTCATGGGTACCCTAAACCCTAAGCCTAATTGGGGCTTTAGGGTTCAAGGCTTAGTGGGGACCCCTTAGGCTGAATGTAGAAGACCGAAGGTCCACAGTTTCGCGAAATCCCACGTAATTGTAGACTTGCCTCGCTGCAGCACTGAGCATGGTTACTGGTACCCTTCCCGATGCCTGGTTTAGGGTTCAGGATTTTGGGGTATGGTGTTTTTGAAGAAGAAATTATCCTACTTGGTTCTACTTGGTTCAACTAATAGAACACGCTGCTGCATGGGATTGGGGGAGTGTAACCCTGAACCGTAAACCTTCGGCATGTTTGTAATTGTTTGGATGCCCTTATATAGATTCCCCATATACCTCAAGTAATATCCCAACGGGCTTGTGTGGGGTTGTTGACTGCAAGGTCTTCGGATTGATGGTGCGGGCCCAGGGCAGCCATGCAGGCTGTGGTGGTACCTCCTGCTTTTGACACGGGGTTCAGAGTGCCACAAACCTTGGGAACTATGCTGTTATGAAATTCCGATACTAAGGTCATGCAGGATTTTCAGTATCCACTGCATTCTGCATGTTTCGGGACCTTGTTGAATTCTTTTTTGGGATTCTGGCTGCTTTTACTGGGACTCTTTGCGTACAGCTGCTACACCACAGCTCAATCTGATGGGAACAACAAGTGCTTAGTGTTGTAGGGTGTCTGCAGGTGTCGATTGCCAGGTTTTGCAGTGATCTGAGCTGTCTCAAGTGGTTTGGCCGTAGGGGCCTCCTAAACCCTAAACCCCCAAACCCCAATCCCTAAACTGTACACGCCCTAAACCCCCAAACCCCATAACCCTAGTTTCTTTCAAGGATGCAAGTCTGAGGTTTCGGGCTCCTGCTTGAATAACTTGCTGGTTGGTGTTTTGGATAGGCACACCTTGAGGTCCCAATCTCGCTACTTAATAAGTAGGGAGATGTGACTGTCCCATTCGTGATCTGTGCGTCTGGCGTAAGTTTCAATTCTAGGGTCGGGGTTCGTATGCACAAGAAAAGCATCAACAAACAAAAGTCTGACGCTTCTTGTACGCGTGCTCATACAGTCTTGTTTCGAAGAAGTTGCAAAAGGGAACTATTTTGTACCTGGAGTCCAAGAGCCTTTCAGCATGCCACAGTTAAGTGAAACTGGGAACTGAAGGATTCCAAGCCCCCCAAGGTCTTGGTTCGCAGGGCCTCTCCAGCCTGCGACACATAATTTTTGCGGAAATCGGGAGTTTCAATTTTTTTGGACTAAATTGGCCACCCATTCCAAGTCTCGCAGCCCTGAGTCGTGTCTTGCTTGGAGCAGATTCTTTATCAGGGCCAGCCAGAGCGTGACCTGAGAATCCGGAATTTTGGGAAGGTATGGAGGCTTGGTGGAATTGGTTGACGTACTTAGTCTACTTCTTATACCGTACAGGCCGTATTACAAACCCATAACCCGCCACTACGAATCTACATACAATGTCTCCCAAAGCATCCAAGTTGTCGTAACTATCCTCCCACCAGGCTGCGCTCATTTTTTGCATGCACTTTCATTGGATATCCCTGTGCGCGGTTGGCTTAACGAGGTCATGCGTTCTTGCCTGCAGTACGAAGACAAGACAAGGCGGCTGGGTGCAAGGGCTGATTTGGCATGTTCATCTCGTGGTGAGGTGGTGGGCCCTTGGAAAGATGTTAGGGCTGAAGTACGTGCCGTTCTTTGAGTGATGGTCATGATGGGCTCTGTGGCTCTTGCTTTTTTGGTGAGGTATGGTTACGTACTTTTGAACGGTTTGAAGCAAGAAAGATACGATCATTTGAGGTTTCAGGTCTTCTTACACAACTACAAAGTATGAACAACGGCACTGTGGTTGCCATTCTGTACGGGGTTTGAGCAAATTGAGGCCTCCTGATGTCTTCCAATCTGTCCATGGACCCCCCAACAAGAGAACCCGATTTTTGTTGAAAGCCCCAATCCCTATGAAGCATCTTATAGACCTAGTTTCCTTGTCATTTTGCATTTTCCCTTCCATTTGATTTAGCCCGGCATAGGCGCAGCCACGCCGTGTAAGATGTAGAGTGTAGGTGGAGGCCCGTCCTGTAATAGTGGTATAGTAGGAATATAAGAGAGCCCTAAGATAATCAACATCATTCCTCATAGTCACTAGTACTGGGTTGGCGGACCACCTAGTACTGTGGAATGGTTGCTAAGTCCAAGAGGACTGGGTGAGGCATGGTAAGCTTCTCCCCAGTTCCTGAGGTTCGTGGTGCCGCAGGATGGCTCGGGCACCACAGGGTTTGGGGTTTAGGGTATAGGTTAGGTGGACCCCCCACCCAGTAACAGTGACTATAAGGGATAATAGGGATTCTATTAGGGTCCTCTTATATTCCTATTATATCACTCTTAATTACAGGGTGGGGGGTCCTCCTAAGGTATAGGGTTTAGTGATATAAATTCTGTGGAAAGCTACCCTATGTGGATTCTGAAACATGGACATTTTCAAAAAGGGTCTCCTGAGTGCAGGGACTCCTCACTAGGGATCCCTTAGGCAAGGCCTCCACCCAGTAGCAGTTAGATAATCATAGATAGCCCCTCATATGTACCCTATTACAAGCTGTTGTTGGGTGGGGACAGTTCCCTATGAACCGTACAAAATCTGTTTCCATTTTCCTTTCCGTTTGAATCTCCATTGCTCGAGCCCAACCTGCCACAACCCTAAACCTTACACCCTCAACCCTAAAACCCAAAGGATCTTGGAAACCCAGACAGGCTAGGGCCTGAATCGTTGTCCTCACCGCAGCTTGCTCCGTCAAAGAGCAGAGAAGAACTCAATACTACATAGGAGTATGTAGCGTTATAAATACAGCCATAAGGATATTACCCCAATTATAGAGAACAAATGCAAGAGGTCATGTAAAACTAAATGGAAGATAATTGCCATTATTCTGTTACTAGATTCATCGTATAACTATTGTATCCGGTACCTCCGCGGCCTGAGATAGCATTTGAAATGATATAGGTGATTTCAAGGCCACTGTATTACCGAAAAGTCATATTGGTGCTTATAGGGGGGTGAATATGTGTACCATTCTCGAGGATTATATTCGCAAAATTGTGGGGATCAACTCCTCCACTCACCTTCAGCATCAGGAAGAAACCGGAGCTTCATGATATTTCGAAGAAACCAAGCCTTTTTGTTGCAAAGCCCACGATCCTAAACCCTCAACCCTAAACCTTAAACCGAAAAAAATTCCTCTGCAAAGCCCATGCAGGAAGCTAAACCATCAAGCTTGAGACCCTGGATTTGGATTCCCATACTTGGAGGGGGGGAGTAAGTAGGTTAAGAGCCCCTATAACCCATACAATAACCCTACTTATCCCCATTATTATCCTACTTACTAAGTCCCCCTTACCCTCCAAGTAGAGGCCTAAGCATCGGCCAAACAAATATGCTGTAAAACCCACCCGAGCGCGCCGCAGGGAGCTTGTGAGGGAATCCTCAAGCATCCGGGCACGCGTCAGGCGCTTGGTCTTAGGAGTTAGTTGAGGGTTTTAGAGTTCAGGTTTCCTCCGCCTACGCTGAGAGTTTGGAAGAATTACCACCGCTCTTCAGAATTGGTAGGTAGCTTGCTGTGGAGTACCCAAAAGCCATACTCTGGCCGTCGAACTTCCTGTTTTGCATGTACTTACAAGGCTTTGCCACAATGAAGCCTAAACCCTGCAGGTATAGTCCCCCTTTAGTAGATAGAATATGGCTTTGGGTATATGGTAATAAGATCCCCATATACCCCATATTCTATCTACTTAAGGGGGACTATACACCCTGAACGCCCAGACTCGCCCCTCGAACCTACATGATGTTTGGGTTCAGCGCGCCTACCAACGCAGGTACACGGGGGGTTTTGTGCGGGCCTGCGCAGGATTTGATGCGCCGCATTTTATGCAGGCGGCATGCAAAAAAAATGTGTTGAGGTGGGGGCAGACGGCCGGAACGTTTAGCCTGTGCGGCTTTTGGCTAATCCTACACATTTTGCACCTAATGTCCCTTCCCCTTCTTACCCCAAATTATGTAACTAAAAATATAACCCCTATATGATGTATCCCCTTCTTCCCTAATTACCACGAACCTAGATGTGAAAATTCAGCCGCTCCAAGGCTCGGAGATCCCAGGCTCAGGCAGCATCGCGAGGGAACACCCAGTCAGCTCCCAAGCCGCTTCCTTTGACGTGTGACAGCTTTAGTGCGGGTCTTCACACCTGGGATCCGACCCCTTGGCGGGTAAGGGTTTAGGGTTTAGGGTTTAGCCGTGATTCCGAAATTTTGAAGATGATCTCTATCAGGTTTAGGATTGTGGGTTTAATGAGGCAGGTCTTTCAGATGGTTTCTTCTTCGAGTGTGCATACGAACACTTGCGACTGCATCGCCAAAGAAAATGCCTTATGGGCATCGCTCCGTGACATTGATCGAGAAACCACAGTATAAGATCCTGAGAGCCCGAATGCTGACACTCAAGCTGTCAATGACACATGGCAACTTACTGCAACGTGTGATAGGGACGTCCAAGGTGTTTCTTGGAAACCGTACATGAGGAGTCCCACAAGGGCATCAAACTTAGGCCGAAGCTGTGAAGAGCTACATGAACTATAGTCTAAATTCCTAGTTCCCCCCTTAATATCCCCTATAGCAGTTCCCTAAATAATCCTCTAAATAACCACCCCAAAAGCAGTTTAGAGTATAGTATACATGACCTGCCTGGATACATCCTGGTATCCTTGACTTGAACCCCCCGAGCTTGATCCAGAATACGTCAGCTTTTCAAAAAAGCATAGACCCGGTTGCCCTCAATGACCCAAACACCCATGAAAAGCGTAAACCTACACCCTATGGTCTACATGGATCCATGTTGACGTCCCTATCTGTTAGAAAGGTCCGTATCTCCTAGTCCTCCACGCCGTACGAGCCCTAAGCCCTGCAATGTTCAAGCCTGAATAAATACCAATATAATGGTTCGAGATTCCTTACATTATCTTGGCCGCTACATTGCAATCCCTCTAAGCTACTGAGTTTCAATTTCATTTTTGACTTTCTTTTCCATGTGTTTCTCCATGGTCCAGGTACAATATATCCCTATGTGTGCCACTGTGCCATAATCTAGACTCCTAGTATCATATTTAAGCAAGCCCTATAATAGTCCCAGATATAATCCCATATAGAACCCCTTTAAGGAGTTTAGACTATAGCTCATATAATCCCGTTTGGTAAATCCCATGCCCAAGGCAGGCCCCAGATGGCTAAGAGAGACTGGGTCCGCGTCTTGGCTGATATGGAATTCTCGTTTCAGCCGATGCCAAAAATCCTGCATGACTCCAAGCAGGCCAATCCTTGAAATTACGGTGCGATTAGGGTTTTTGGTACCCACGGTTTCAGGGCAGACGTTCGTGTTTCGAGGAAGGCATTGTCCCTACTTAGACTACGAATGCGCATCTTCAAAAAGGGTGCAGCTAGTTTCAGCGCTTTTTCCTGCCCCTTGTACCTTTCCCCCATTTGGGGATCAATGCCCCTTGGAAATCAATCACATCTTGGAAAATTTTAAACAGCTTATCAAGGTGCAGACAACGCTTTTTGTGACTTTTGTAGGTACCAGCGATGCAAAGAGGAAACCACATAGCAGTCGTCATATCGTAATACCAGTTTGCAACGACCCAAGACAGGAAGCTGGCAAGCTACCCTCAAGATCCTATTGTTGATACTGAAATTCCTGCATGACCTGAAGGACTTTCTACCCTAGAACTTGTGAGATTTTGGTATATGGAACGTCATTCAACGGTTTTAGCATCGGCAGTAGGACCACTCAACACCCCTAAAGTACGATGCAATCATCCCATTTTCCATTGCATTTTTCACATTTTTGTCTATAGTATGGTAGCCCAACCTATAGGCCACAGGCCCTCAAGCTTAGCCTAAAAGGAGTTTTGCCCTTGACCCTGAAGATCCGAGGCCAGAGAAGCCAGATCTCAACCCTCAACCCTAAAACCTAAACCATAAAACCTAAATAGTAGTTTCCATTTTATTTTCCATTATCCCAATATAACCCCTATAAACCAAACCCAATATACCCCCATAACCTAACACCTAAACCTTAATCCTAGCATCTGCGGCTCAGGGTTAGTGGAGATTTTGGTTCACGGTTTAGGCTTTCAGACCCTAAGCTCTACATCCTAAGCCGTAAACCGTAAGCCGCGCAAACGTTAAGCCCGAAGCCCTGACGCCTAAACCCAACTGTAAACCCTAATGTTGGGTGCTGATTGGTGTAGAGGATTCCCCCGACTAACACGGAAGGGTCCCTGATTAGTGTAATGGGGAGGGGGTTGACCCTAACGAATCTGGATCCTAGCTTTAAATTAGATACCACAGGAGGGAACTGGATTTGGTCAGGCAAGGCTGAGGAAGGCATTTAGAAGGGTTTCTATTGAATTATTCTCGGAAGGCCACGCAACTTCGCACAGTTGAGGGCCCCCAAACGAAAAAGGGGGTGCTGAATAATTGCGGCGAAACTTCGCACAATTAAGGCCCCCACACTAGTCGGGATCTCACATTAAACTAGAAACTCTGAAGCCCTAAACGCCACAGCCTTAAGTCTAAACCCCAAACCCAAAACCACAAAGCATAACCTTATTTTGGATGCACAGCCACGGAGGACTTCGCAGCTTCAGCCCAGAGAGCAGCATTCCTCAACATTCCGTGGAAGCAGCGTGTTGAAAAAAGGAAGGTAGTAGTCGTAGTACTGCTTCTTAGTTGGCAAAAAATATAATCCCATATAGCTCCTTAATGCTCTATTACTACATTTGCTTATCCCCACCAACCCGCACAGAAACCTCACAAAGCGCCATGTAAGCCACATAGATTTTTTCCAGAGGCAGTTTTGCCTACCAATCACGTGGTTTCTTGCCAAACATTGGAATGGGTAGAGGGCTGTCAAGAACCCGGCTGATAATTGAACTCGTGGACTTCATTAGTGTTTTGGATAGATAGGAGAACTTTAGACAGAAGCTATATTCCGAGTTACAAAAGTTCAGCGAATCACACCCGCAATGCAAAACCCCGTTCAGCCGTGTCGGGTTTAAAAAGACTGGCTTCCTGTAGCCATGTAGCGTTTCAAAAATAGGATTAGCTGTACCCATGTAGGATTCAAAAGCAGGTACCTCCTGATGTTCAACAATTCCCATAAAATGGTGGTGGTAGGGGCTGCATGGGAAGTGCAGCTACAGAAAAGGAAGATCAGAGGACTTTCTGCCATAACTTGGTTTGTAAAAGCTCCTGAGCAGGGCCGTTGTGTGGCTCGCGTGTGATGGTTCTTGGTAGTGTTTGGGAATGTTGTAGAGTTTATTAAAACAACCCCTGCTAAATCTGCAAAAGGGGAACTATAACCCCAATATATACCCTATTATAATGTAATAGTTTCCATTTTCTTTTCCATTATCCCTATATAACCCCTATATAACCCCCATATTCTAGTGGGACCTTCATTCCGTTTCATCCCTGGGGTCCAAAAACCACCCCTTTGACAAAGCCGTGAGGCTCGAGCCCCAACTGCAGCATGTGTGTACAGCCCCAGCCTAGCAATAGCTGAACATTTGGAACATGAAGCCTATGAGAGCTTCTTCCCTTGGAGCTATCCCATTACACCCCTGCAGAAGATGAGTGTTTGAATTGTGTAGCTGTTTGTATTCGTTTGGAGAATATTGATAAGTCTCAGCATATTGTTGGGAAGCATATTTCAAGTTCCTGGAAACTTGCGATTTCTAAGAAAATCCTTTACCATCACCAGCCTGGAGCCTTAAGCCCTCAACCCCTAAACCTACAAACCCCAGTGGAAAAGGAGTGAACAAAAACCGTCCGAACCCCTCAGCCCCCTTCCCCTTTTGGCATCATCGCTGCCTTTCTCTGCCGTCTGTTGCTATGCATGGTGAGCTTGACAGCAATGCAAGGCCGCCAGCCTCATCCTTTTCTGGATTTTTTCTCAGATGAGCTATAGGGACCACTACATGGGATATTAAGAGGGATACTAGGAGTTCAGACTATAGCTCATATCCAGGCTTGCCGTTTAGACTAAGGCTTAGATGGTTTAGGGTGTAGGGTTACCATTGGGATGTGTTCAGATTGTTAGGGGGTTTTATAAGGGATTGTATCGGGATTGTTTTGACAAACGTTTAGGGTTTAGGTTCCTAAACCCTAAACTCCCAATCTGGTACGCATCTCAACTAGGGTGCCTTTCCACTCCCCTCACTTTTGAGGGTCCTCGTGACAAGCATTCGGAAGCCCCAAACTCTAAAGCCTCAACCCCCCCCACTCCCATTCTCCCCTGAACCCTAAAAGCCACCTATAGTTCTGAAAGCCTCCAACATGGGTGCTGAGTTTGCTTTGCTGCTTCAGCAGATACTATAGTCTGCAGTCTCCTCAGGAATCATTCTTCGTTTTCATGGTAGCCTAACTACCTCCAAGGAATTATTGAAAATAGAGTTCGTATTCTAGGTCCGGGAAAATTGCGTTAATGAGGTATTTATCGGGATGTTCTGGGGGTCATTGTGGGGATCCACTCTCCAGTTGGAACAGCAGAAATAGACAAATATTTTCTCTATAACGCCATAAGCATAATTTTAGACTTGAACTGGTCATCAGGGCTTACCTTGGGAGTTTCTCAAAACTCTGCCCCCTCAAACCCTAAACCGCTGAACCCTAAATCCTCTAACCCTAAACCCTAAACCCCTAAACCCTACACCCTAAACCCTGAGCCCCCAAACCCGCTAGAAACGGAGAGGCCCGAGGCTGGTGCTGAGGAGTCGATCGTGGACTCCTTGCGGGTGTCTGGGGTCTTCACGCTTGGGCTAGTAATCCCGTCTTAGGGTTTAGGGTTTGGCTCTTTAGGGTTTAGGGGCTAGGGAATAGGGCCTAGGGAAAATTTTTCACGACCCTGATGAAGACTCCCAACAAAGTTAAATGTAGTCAAAAGGGAACATGAGTCATTAGAAGGTTTTTAAATTTTCAGGCAAGGGCGCAGTTTGGAATGGTGAGTGTGAGTGTGGTAGCCAGGCGTCAAACATGTTTAAGCCCAGCCAAGAAGGAGCTGTTTGAGGTCAGCTCTTGCCAGCTCGTCCCAAGGTGCAAAATGTGTGCGTTGACGAACTCAAGACGAACCGGGGCTTACTCTTCCGGACTGCGCTCGGAATCATGGGCTTACTGTATTTGGGGAATGGAAATGACGTCGTGCTGGTAGTGTGGCATGCAGGGTTGCGGACACAAGCTGTTAGATGTTGACAGTTTATGAAATTGACGGCTGCGCGGTTTAGGAATTGCGGAAAATGAGAAGTGGTTCTTTCGTTTCCTGATCCATGGTTTTGCTATGCCGGTGAGGGCCCCATAGGTTCTGCAAACTCTCCTACCATGCCTTGTTCCCTAGGCCCTATGCCTACTGCCTTACCATTTCCCCTAGGTCCGACCCCGCCCTGCCATAGTCCTCTAATTAAGCTCCAAACCACTACTGTATCCTTTGCAGCCCCCAAAGCCAGGGTTACTTCGCTGCACCACGCTTGCGCAGCGGGCGCCGGATGGGCATCGTCGTGGCAGCTTGGAACCAGCCAGCTCTACTTTTGGGTGGCCTTACTTGGAGGGTCGGAGGGACTTAGTAAGTAGGTTGATAACCCCTATAACCCATATAGTAGCCCTAATTATCCCCATTATTAACCTACTTACTAAGTCCCCTGACCCTCCAAGTACCCCTTCTTCTAGCATGGTCCATCGTATCGTAGCTGTGTAGGTGACCTATAGTTATAACTTCTGGGGTCCATGTAAACCTACCAGATGTAATGTGAGGACCATAGTTAGAGTATCAGGTGGCAGGGCGTGTGTATATCAGAGGTGGTTGTTGGGCTTTCTAAGGGCACTAGGAACTATGAATCTTCAGGTTTTTCGGTTGGAACGCAGACACAAACCATAAACTCCCCTAACACTCTTTCTTCCAAAGCCCAGAACTATAAAACCGAAAACGTACCATCTCAGCCAACACCCTCTATATTAGGCCCCCATAGAAATCCCGGTATAGCGCCTATATGATCCCTAAACCCTTGCCCCAAACGCTAAACCCTAAACTCTAAACCCTATAGATAGCTTCAGAGATGGTGGCCCTTAGGTCAAGGATCTGGACGTGAGTGCGGCGGCCTGCAGGCCATGCCTAAGACGTGCTTGGGATTTGTGGTTTCGGGTTTTAGGGTTTAGGGTTTTTAGGAGTTAGAGTTTTT